CCAGTCGCCGCGTGTGTAAACTAGCTACTACATGTATAATCAGTGAAATCAGAACATATGACGTGACTGGAGACAGAATATGAATTTTGGGAGAAGTTTATAAATATTTATAAATTGCACGAGTGTTCGTGGAATAACAGAAAGAAAATCAGATGATCGATTTAGTATTAGTAGTAGTAAGAAAATTGCATTTAATTTGAGATGTTCAAACGGACCTCGATTAATTATTGCAGAGAAATTAGTAGTGAAGAATAAGATTTATTATGAAATACTTGGAAAATTAAATGAAAATTTAACAGTAGTATTAAACAATAGCGATCAAAATATTTCTACACGTTACATCTCATATAATGCACTGCCTCGATATAATTTAATAATTTAATCCAGTAAGTTGATGCATGCATCGTCATATGTTCCAACGTTTGTGGGAGTCTTTAGTTTTTAGCAATAGGAAAGAGTTATGAAGATTTAAAATTTCACCTCAATTATTGAGCAAAATGATTCCTGATGTGTGTTATTATTTAAGAATTAAAGATTCTTATCCATATAAAGATTATTATTTAAGAATAAAAATTAAAAGGAGTAAAATTAAATTAAATTAAAGTAAAATTAAATTTTTATTTTAAATATTTTTATATAAACAAAACATTACACAACATTACAAACATAAAAATATACATATATATAAATATATAAACAAATAATGAAAAATATTATATGGATGAATCTCTGTTTGAATTTAATGAATATTGCAGTACTGAATTAAATAATTAAATTATATTGAGGCAGTGCATTATATGAGATGTAACGTGTAGAAATATTTTGATCGCTATTGTTTAATACTACTGTTACATTTTCACTTAATTTTCCAAGTATTCCATGATAAATCGTATTCACATATAATTTTTCTGCAATAATTAATTGATGTCTGTTTAAACGTCTCAAATCAAATGCGATTTTTTTCCTATACCAAATCGACAATCTGATCTTTCTGTTATATTATTCCACGAACACTCGTGCAGTTTATAAATATTTATAAATTTTTCCCAAAATTCTCGTTCTGTCTAAATTGTAAATTTGCTTTCATCGAGTCTCTCTTGGAATTTCGCTCGGAGTTTCGGCTCACCGACTGAACCGAGATTTTAATTCTTACAACGATCTTACCATTAATTAATTGGCATAGACATCAAATGGGGTTTTGTGTCCCAGGTTCTGATTCAAATACCGACCAGGAAAAAAAATCACTGTTTTTTTAGCGTCCTACGCTTAAACAACTAGGTGAATTAGAGAACTACGTCAAACAAAATGATACAAGTTGGTTCAAGAAAATGATATCCTTTACAGTGTTGTCAATATATATCTTCAGCACAGACGAGGTAGAAATACATATACCTCTATGCTACTAGATTCTGATACAAGAAATTAGTATCTAAAACGTTTTATATTATGCATCGTATATCACAAAAAGCTCTATCCGTGTTTTAATATTAATATACATTTCATGTATATAATTATTTATACTATATCATTATTTTTAAAAATAATTTTTAACTAATTATGTTACTAAAATTATTTTTATTGGCAACTGGTTGGATTGTCTACAGTATTTTATTTAATTTTAAATGGCCACCGATTGAAATAAAATTTGAAGACCGTGAGATGTGAAACTCCAAAGATATAAAATCTTGGCTTCGAGAATTCTTTGTTTGGAAAGTAGATCCTACAATTTTTTATAAAATTTATTATATAAAATCTATTATATAAAATAAAAACAAGCAATTAGCAGCTAACGTTAGGCCCGATGCAGACAACCGATTTATAACAAATCGCAACAGTGATTCTTTTGAAAGAAAAGAGATATATTCTCTTTTTTTCTCTGTTCTTTCAAAGCACCACCGCCTTCGGACCTTCCGTCACTGCATCGGGGCTAATTCGAGCGTCTAGAGTAAACAAAAGCACAATGCAATTCTCAAAGCACGATATAGCCATATATACATATATACATAACCATCTCTGGCCAGTAACAGCCGATCGGAAATATTGTCACCATGTAATTCTTATTTAATTTTTATCATTTTCTGCCTTTCGTTGTCTTTTATACGTTAAGTATCGTAAAATTATCTTCCAAACAGTTAAATTCTCGAATTCAGCAAACATCTCGGAAGAGGGAAGCTGAACAATATCCTTATTTTGTGCTGGGATTTGACTAATTAGGCTATAATTCGTTCCGGAGACGATATTTAAAAGGACTATTGTTGGATTCCGCGTAATGGAAAAACACTTACAATTTTTCAGAGTTTTATTCTACGTTGCAACCGTGGTAAAGGATTGTGTACAAAAATCTTCTTGTCAACTTGGTGAAAAAGTGAACTTTTGTTTCTTCTCGGCATGCCTTTTTATATTCCGGTTTATCAGGAGGAAGAGAAGAGGAAAGGAGCATAGATGACCAAGTACTGGATTTTGCCCTTCTGACTGAATTATTTACAGGTCATATTAAAAGAAACTATTACTAACTCAGTGTTAGCACTATTGTCAAGCCGGTTGGTCGTCCAACAATTCATCCGTTTTGAAATTTCGAAATCAAATTTATTTTCTTAAAGAATACCATGTGTATATTTTCTTTTTTATAGTACGAATTCACTAAATTACATTTTCAACGACCGAAATCACTTATTATTATAAATTGTTAATAGAAATGATATAAAATATGAGTGACTTAATGATATATATGTTAGTATTAACATTTTATGAGTTTGAAACATTTCTCATTCGTATTTTCTTCTATTCTGATTGTCGGTGAATTTGATTAACTCCTTCACTGATTTTGCCGATTCCTAAATATCATTTAGAAATCGATATCCTGAACGATCCTTTCCTTTAACGAATAAAGTCCGACATATGCGTTACAGAAAAAAATATCTTCACAATACATTCAAAAATCATCGAAATCGGTGAGGGAGTAGTCAGTCTATACTTTCATCCAATTGGCATCGCATAATTACAAAAGAAAAGCGAGTTACAGCGACATGGGCAAGTTTCGGATTTTCTGACGAAAGCACAGTTGCCAAGACCTAAAAGTCTCACACGGTTGTCACATTTCTGTTACTGTTCTGTTCGTC